ATGACGAAAATTAACAGAGTAATATGTGATTAACCGCTTTAACTTAAGAATACTTAGTTTAGTAAACTGCATGTCTGAGGCGTTGTCGTGTCATTAAAACAAAATAAAAATAGATTTATTTAACAACAACGACAACAACAATATCTATAAACAGGATAAATAAAAAACTAATTCTTCTAGCAGTCAATCATAGACTAAAGCGAACAGGCTCCGCCCACTTCATTTGCATACCGTTCACCAAAGCGTACCATTCACAAAACGAACCGTACCGTGCAAGAAGCGTACCGTACCGTACACAAAGCGTACCGTACCGTACACAAAGCGTACCGTACCGTGCACAAAGCGAACCGTACCGTTCACAAAGCGTACCGTACCGTACAGAAAGCGAACCGTACCGTACAAGAAACGAACCGTACCGTGCAAGAAATGAACCGTACCGTGCAGGAAGCGTAACGAACCGTACCGTGCAAGTGGTGTAGTAGCACGTTTTAGGGTCTGTAGTTATTCATCCATTTTTGCCATTTAATAATCTAAATTGACAGACTTTGTAAATGTCCGATTATAATTGATAATTAGTTAGTTACAGTAGCCCGATCATCGATTATGAAATTCTTGCTGATTCCCGTCACTAGATGCAACTCATCTGGTAAATCACCGACGGTCTTTAGTAATTAGTTATTAATTTAAAATCACTTTTGTGTCTTTTAAGTAACTTAAAACCTATACTGATCATAAAAAAGAATCACAGTTATTAAGAAAGTTGTCTATGAGCTTAATGTGCACTTGCATGCATCATCTAAAAATAGTAAGGGTTAGCCTAATATCCCTAAGTGCACGAGTTTTTCTCTCTCATTAAACCAGACCAATTCCGGGAAATATGTTCATTTATTTGTTCTACTTAATGTTTCTACACATTAAAATCTTAAATAGAAAATAATTATTTTCCAAAATATTATTCCCAGTTATTTTTTTTTTTACACCAGTCAAATTCCACTTTGGGACGTGGAGATCGGTCCTTTGGATGAGACCGCATAAACCAATGTCCCTTGTAGGTGCTGGCACGAAAAAGATCCCTCACTGCTCAATGTCCCTTAGTGCCGAGTATACATGTAGGTCAAAATTTGCAACTCTCCACTTGCAAGTGGTGGCATCTCCATGTAATACTCCAGACCTATATAAGTGAAAAATTCTCGAGAGGGACATTAAGCAATAATAAACAAACAAACAACATCAGTCCTGAAATTACAGGAATAAAGCTAAACATTTTTTTCTGCAATTTTTTGCATTATCCAATAATTTATAAATTTCTCTATATCTGTCTACAGTTGTCCACTCTATTGTTACAGTATCACAGATATACCTTTTGTCCTCTTTATTTTCATTTATTTGGGGAAATAACAAAATTAGTTCTTTAAAATTTGAAAATTTTCCCAATGTGAACATATTTCACATCAATTTTCCCAATTCTACGGACCCAGGACCCATTTTATAAATGGTAGGAAAACCCCTGTTGTTCTTAGATAAAATTTCCTACATGTATTTGATTTTCTTCACTTTACCACTGTCATGCTCAGTCACAAAAAGGAAGTCTCTGGTATCTATACATAAACTCCATGTACACAGTTATAAATGTAACTGAGGAACTGTCCCTCCTGGTTGAGGATATGGATAGAGCTGCTGTGATAGTCTGCTGTAAGGATCTGACTCTGGCTGTCTGTTGTGATGCCGCGAGGAAAGAATGATCTCTTGGTAGTTGAGGGATGACCATTGTATCTAAATCGGAGATTTCCTGCCTGATTAACCACCACTACTGCTTTGGCTCCAGAGTCAGCCACACGGATATCCAGGTTCCTGTTCTCACTTAGGTATTTATGAGAACAAGAGGTATACAGAGGTTACCTGGACTATCAAACTGAATGGTTTGTTTTTCTGTGGAGCCAGAGTATAGATTGTTTATAATCATCAATGTCCATGGTAACCAGGAGGTCACCAGAGGAGGTACTACAGACATAGCAAGGTATCCACCCCTGTAGTCTGATCATTTCCTGTATCTGGTCATTCTGCAGTATGTTTACAGTTCTTGTATCAGGGTCAGTATAAACTAGATCTCCACTCCTTGTCATTGCTATGTTACATGGATAGTTCCCTGATTTAGTTTTTATTGACTTCATTAGTTTGCCCTGGAGGTTGTAGAGTTTCATGATTTTGTCATCCCCACATGTCCAGATTTCTTCATCACTGACACAGGTAACACTGTATACTAGATATTTATACCCAGTGTTTATGGTGGTGATGAGCTCTGGTTCATTAAGCAGTGGTTTGACTGGAGGACAGGATGCAGCTTCTGGTGTCTCCATCGTGTAGCCAAGTTCTTCTTTTGTTATGGATAATGCTGACAGAGAACCAAACATTTGATGGAGCTGTTCTCTGTTGATCTGATGTGGAAAGAAACTTGGTAATGAAACATTGACTTTAGGAGGTAAACTTCTGAATTCAGCATTCCTGGATTTGTATGCAGAGGTTAGGGAGACATCATTGGAGTCCAGTATTTTCTTCAGATCAAGAATACTCTGTTTTACATCAGAAGTAATCTGTTTTACTTCATTTTCCTGTTTATTTATTGCAGTTAGGTTTGGTTTTCATCTCATTGATTTTAGATTTTTGTGTGTTAACAATGATGTTAATTTCTCTGTGCCAGTCTTCTCCTTGTTTGGTGACAGCTGTTGTCAGTTTCTCATAATATTTTTCCAAGTTTTCTTTTTCAGAATTTAAATCTACTGCAATTTCTTCATATGTTGGATAGATTCTTTTCTCTAGTTCTTCCAAATCCCTTTCTAAGTCTTTTGTTTTAGAACTTATTTTTTGCAAAGCATCTGTTATATCATGTCCTTTATGGTCACCAGAAGAGATGCAGGTAGAACAGATGGGTAGGTCACATTTCTCACAGTGCATTTCACAGTGTTTCTGGGTATGGTTTTTGCATTTTGAGTAGTTATGAGCAGACGTTCTGTGTTTGTATGGTACAACACGGTGTCTTTTGGATGAATCAGAGAGATGTTCCCCTACACAGGCCTTACACAGGTTAATCTGACAAAGTTCACAATGACTCTGTAATGCAGCTGTTTGACACAGGTCACACAGGAGGAGTACTTGAGCTCTTTCCAGGGGGTCCATAATGGGTATCTCAGTCACATAAAAAGATGATGCTGTAAAAGGAATTATTATTACAGTGAAGTCACTTTTTTTTGGGGGGGGGGGGTTATTTTTATTTGTTTCAGATATAAAGAAATCCAAAAATTCTTGTTTTCCATTAAATATGAAAATGTCAAACAAGTTTCATGCTTCTTGAACCATTAAATCAAATCAAAAACCAATATTTATTCCTCAAACTACAAAAATTAAATTAATTTGTTTTCATAAAATATATGGTAATTGGCATGCATGGATAAATTTGGTCAAAATCATAAGTGGAAGAATATATTAAATTTAATGAGATAAATTTGTGATATTACAGTAACAATTGTCACAGTGCATTGTGTTTATGTAAGAACTCTTATCAAAAAGATGAAAATTATTAATTTTCAATAATTTTAAACAAATTTAATTTCTTACAGACATGATAGAGCTTGCTTGAATTGTCACACTAGAGTAAAAAAAATACTGAATCAACTAAAGTTTTACTAATAAACTTGTATTACACCAATGAGCTGTGGTTTAAAGCTTGAGTGATTGAAGACTAAAATGTTGTCACAAGTTTATAAATCTTTTCATCCATAAACAATTTTCAAATTGCTACTCTTTTATTTTTTTTTAATATTTAGATAATATTGACATCACCTGAAGATTTTCTCCTGTATAATTATGTAATAAAAACCACTTCTTTTCGGGACCAGTAATCACTGGTAAAAAGAAGTTTTTCAAGCCACCTTTTTTAATATCACAACTCTACTGTCCTGTGTTGTGACCTTGAACAAAGGTCATTTGTTCAACTTCAAGGTCATTTTCTGAAAATTAAAGAAAGCACAGACGATTAGTTTTATATTGAATTTGGTGTCAGTTGAATAATGGTTTAACAAACCCAAGGATGTGAAGGAAGGGGCCAAATATGGTATCAACATTTTTTTACCGAAATAAAGGTAGAAAATCTTTAGTCAATCATAGATCCTCTGATGACTCGTCAAGTCAAGTGCAATCTATCAGTACCTTCACAAGTAAAAAATAACTTCAGGGAAATGATGTGCAATTTTATTAATAACCAAAGTATGTCAATATCTTTTGACAAATGGCATAATTTTTATGTGTACATTAAATTAATGTTTAAACCCAAAAATTGTTTCAAAAGAAAATGAATGTACTGAAATTAATATATAAATATATTTATTATACCTCATTATAATTATTTTATACAGTGCGTTATCTGATTGGTTCTAAATTATCACATAACTGGGCCATAAAACTTTATATTTTCCTGTCGTCGAGATTTTTATCATATTCAACCTCTTCGGTGACCTAGCTAGTGCATTTTCCCACGATAGTTATCCTTTGTTGAACGAAAACTCCCAAGAGTAGTAGACGTCACAATAGGCTTGTTCACATCACAAAATTACTGAATGTTTCATCAGAGTGTTATGAGTAACTTTACGTTAAAATTGAAAGTGAATTTGAGAGCGGTGCTGAATTTGAAATTTTATGTTTATTTTTAAAGTTTTTGCTTGTTTAATTTTATTTAATTTATTGCATGAATGTTCGGGAAACATGAAGATTTATTCAGCCAAGAAATATCATATTCCCCGGCCCTTGGGTGAAGCCCTTAGGGAATATGGTTTTTCTTTGCTGACTAAATCTTCATATTTCCCTCTCGATCATGCAATAAATGTATAATATAGCTGGATAATATACATGTGTAAAAACAAACCAAAATTACTGGTATATCCTTCATTTTAATGAAAAAAATATACAATATATTGACCTGAACTTTATCATAATTTCTGAACTTGTAGGCTAAACCACAGGACACACTGGATCTTTGTCAAATTTTAAACAATGACATTGCAGAATCTGTGAAGAAGTACCCTAAAAGATTTGTGGGACTGGGGACACTTCCAATGCAAGCCCCAGATCTGGCTGTCCAAGAACTGATCAGATGTAAACAAGAACTAGGTCAGTGTAAATAGGAACTAGGTCAAGGGAACAGGAACTGTAAGCACTCGAAAACGGTAAGAGATTAAGACACCAAACTTATATGAGCAACAGTCCTTGAGATGTAGGCAAAACCATTTGGGTTCAGAGCATCAGCCGTCACTTCCAGTCATCACAGGAAGTGATAAAAGAAATCAAAAATTTGCTGGTCAGATGTAAACAAGAACTAGGTCAGTGTAAATAGGAACTAGGTCAAGGGAACAGGAACTGTAAGCACTGTAAACAAGAATAAGGTCAGTGTAAACAAAAACTAGGTCAGTATAAATGAGAAATAGGTAATTGGAAACAGAAACTAGGTCAGTGTTAACAGTAACTATATATAGGTTGATATTGACAGGAAGTAGCTGTACTACAGTATATCCATTAATTCAGTTAACTATGTGTTATGTGTAAAACGGAGACTGCATGACCCTCCTGCTTCACAAATGCAAACACAATTTCTTACTCCAAGAGTGGATAGTTTTGATTAACCCATGGCTAGCAAAGATATATTTTGAGACAAGTATTAGGCATGAAATTTATAAACACTCGTCTGATTTTAATCGTCAGAATTTTAAAAACCTAGGTTTAACTATATGTGTGCCACATCCGTCATATCAACTAATGTTACAGTTTCTCACAGCTAGGTTTGAAGGCTGTCCGAAGGCTTAATATGCATTAAATATAAACTATTTTATATTGAGCAATGTTTTGATTTCAATTTGTAATCTATATATACATACACAGTTAAGTTGTACAGAAAGTTGAATAAGGTATTACAAAAAAGCATTTTTGTGATGTCACATGACTGTGTTGATCACGTGACAGACACTTACACATTTTCTTAAATTTTGCACAAAAATCGCATCGGCACAAGTGCAAAACAAAATTACTGTGAACAGCTTGTTACATGAATCAATTAAACATATTCTTGGGTATATATAAAGTGCTGGGGGCAAGTCTGAATTTTATTTCACAAGAAAATATTTCATGAGAAATTCAACTTACCCACATACAAGGGGTCATTTTCCACTCTTCATCGCAATTTACAGAAAATAGGATAAATGACATACAATCCCCCAGCAAAATTCAGTTAGAGGACATATTTGTCTAGTAGATTCACACAGAATATCTTCAATTAATCCTTATTATTCACTTGTGCCAGTCTAATATATATAAGATTTATAGATTCTAACTCTGTCTACAGACACGTAAGGGGGGCATTTCACATTCTTTTTTTCTTATTGTTTGAATACGTACATGTTGGAAAAGAAAAAGTAATAACGATATTATGCTGCAAATATTCACCATCATTACAGCCTTAAAACAACAATCCAGACACATGAATTAAACATCAACGTAAAAAATTCTACATATGATGTAAAAGTAATGTAAAAGTTATGACACTTTCCCAGTCATGTCAGCTCAAGTATGCATTGACTTGATGTCATATGCCATTATGATGTCATATCTAGGTAGTTCAGAGAAGTTACTACGGCTGGTACACAGTGGCATTCTTCGGACAGCCTATCCTAGCCGTGCTGTCAATTAAGCAATATTATTGTAATTAATTGTTGTGTTGTGTAAAACATGAGATATATGATATTATTAGCAGAAATATTTTGCATGCATCATTTTGCAAGTTACGGGGTTCATTTAAAATAGCTAAAACCTTCACCCCTGTCATTCCCCCAACACACACAAACACACTCACCACACACGTATTTCAGTTCGAAGTCCCTACAGTCCTGAATGCAGCCTAGTAGGATAAATCAGTGATGGTGCAACAAGACGTTCAAATTTTCAAAACATTGTAACTCATGTTTGTGAGTTTCGTAGGTTTTGTACATCATCTCCTAAAACAAACAGCAAATTATCAAATCTTTTCTGCAAATGATACTAATTTGTGATTTAAAAAAAGAAATATTTTCAAATTCTGCATGTTCTGTAAAGCTTCCATGTTTATATAATTTAAAAATACAATGTGTCATTCTTTTTAGGTTTTAATGGTATACAAATTGGATCACATGTAAATGATTGGAATTTGGATGCAGCAGAGTTAAGACCAATATTTGCAGTATGTGAAATTCACTGATTTCATTGTGTGTTCTCAATTTGTGATGCATGAAACTTAACTGGAGAATTCATTTTTACCATAAATGTATTTATGAACAGGGATTGTGTTCAGATCTCAGATTAATTAAAACGGTTTGAACTAGTTCAGCTTCATAGTGATAGATAGTGTGAAGTTTTGTCTGGTCCATAAGAGAAACACATGAAAGGCTAGTTTAAAAGGTTGTTTTGACCCTGAAAGTATATTGTCTGGAAAATGTCTTGGTAACAGTATGTCAGTCCAAAACTTTGAAAAAAAAAGAATTCAGTCTTGGAAGTTTATACTCAGCATGAAAATTGTGATACTTTCACTGTAGTATCAGTGGGGGTGGGGAGTGGGGGGTATTCTTTTTCCATTTAGTTTCAAAACTAAAATCACAATATTTAGTATAGTATTTAATATGTACAGACCCTGAAACGTGCTACTACCCCACACGCACGCTGCACGAACGGTACACGCTCGCTACACGGTTTGCACGAAACGCTGCACGGTTTACACGAAACGCTACACGGTTTGCATGAAACGCTACACGGTTTACACGAAACGCTTTGCACGAAAGGCTGCACGGTTTACACGAAAGCCTGCATGAAACGCTTTGTACACGTTTCTCACACGCTTTGTACACGATTCTCGCACGCTTTGGCCTCGATCTGGATTTTCTATTCGGAATCTCTCGGACTTTATTTCAACTATTACGGATTAATCAAAGATTAGTTAAGAATTGCAATCATTCAGATTAAGTTAAAATTAAAACTCGCTACACCAGTACTATATTAACAGATAAAATACTCAATGTTCAGTTGTAATTAATACATACATGTAGTTGTCAGTGAGTATGTGACCCGCCCGGTGAAATACTTATCATCGTCTGTGTACAAAGCTTTTTTTACTAGACTCTAAATTACGCACTAAAAAAATATCATATTTGTAATTCATAATCTTTCACAGCATTTAATGTTTTTTTCCAATTATAGTTTGATATTAAATAGTCGTTTTATTACTAACAAATAAACTCAGTTATTGATTTGAAAAAAAAAAAAATGATTCAATTGCGTATGATTTCTGTAAACGGATTGATTTTCTTTTCCCTTTTTAATTATTGATTGATTTATACATTTTTTGATTTAGTAAAAAAAAAATAATTTCATTTGATAAAATTAGGTTCTGTTAATAATTTGCAAAGGTAATATATAAACTGCATCTAACAGGAACATTGTGCAGGAAAAGTGGGGAGGGGGGTTAGATTACGGAGATCTTACTGTTGTATCTTCAAATCTGTACATGACTAAATATAACGGGCACTTGTTTCAGTAAGTATACCATCGGGGGAAAAATATTATAGAAACAAGTGCCCGTTCTAAGAAAAAAAAAGGATATCCATATCTGTAGCGGGACCCGATACATGTAATTCATTAAATGCACTTTATTCAAAATGGTAAATGGTAAATATATCGTTTCATTACAGAGCTAAACTTTATTTAATCTTTTAAATTTTTTATGGTAGAAAAGCCGGGGGATAAGTATTGTAATTATTTAGTTCTCTTTTGAGGCATTGGTTTATCAAATAAAAACAATATTATACCCACCACCTTTTAAAATCCTTCATTTCAAACCGCGTCTAGACAAAAAAAAAAAAAAAAAAAATCAGTAATTTATGTAATCAATAATCACCGCTACCATTCAATATATATGTATACATGTCCAATGTCCTAAAAACTAAAAAAAAAATATGCTCTAGAACAGCGTGATTAATAAAACAACTAATATACATGTACATGTACGACTATTCAGGATTTATTTTATTTACGAATGCACTGGCAAATTAATTCACTGTTTACAGACAATCGGATAAATTTATGAAATAAAATCCACGGGTATTTATCTATACCCATTACATACTAATAAAACTGTTTAATTCACAAATTAAAAATCAATCGTTATTGTTGGTTGTCATCTTATCTATGATTGACAAGAGATACTTGCAGAACAAGTTTTCAGTCCCGGCACGCGGAAGCCGTGATCGCTGTTGTAAATGACCTTGATCACAGTCGAAAGAAAAGTGTTGAAAGTGTAAAGAAGATTACAATATTTTTAAGGGATGCATTGGGCGCACCCCGAAAATAGCAATAGATTATTTTAAAAAAGAAAATCATTAATAAAAGACTTGTTTACAACAAAAACTCAGTATTTTCATTTGATCACCCCCCCCCCCCCCCCTCCCGGAAATATTTAACCCTGTATTTGTCGATGCTTGTGAATTACAATTCATTTATATGACTATTATTAATCAACCAATTTTTTGCATTAAAAAAACTATAAATGACTCATCGTTCCAAAATAATTTGCATCACAATCTTGTAATATAAGAAAATTATGTTCTTTTATAAAGAAAATTAATTAACTGTGCTCCCCGGCCTAGAATTCCAATATTTCACATTTATAACAACACACTAAATTTTGCATTTTATTTTTCACGCCTGCCATATTTATCTATTATTTTGTATGAATCACCGATATGTTTTTGTAATCCCACATCCCATAATTTGTAGAATGTTGAAGAGATTCGAATAAATGAATGAAAAGGACAAGATCGGATTTCTAATGAATTTTCTTTTAAAAAATGTTCAGTATTGCTCCCTCAAAAAATGTATTGAATCAAATACCTTAAAATTTATGTGCATATAATTAATTACTTTTAACACATTTTCTGTCCATCTTTATTGAAATAAAAAAAAAAGAAAATCAAACAAATATGTAATACATTACCGAGTAATTTTATTTTGTTCTTTCCGTATTATTTCACTCTTAAAATACCACTGGTATGATATATCCGAATAATATTAGTTACAAACAACACAGAATGACATGTTGATCCATCAATAGCCATCTTTAAAATAAGAAGACTTCCGAATGAATCCTACACGTTTCTCACACGATTCTTGCACGAAAGTCGCACGTTTCTCACACGGTTCTTACACGAAAGTCGCACGTTTCTCACACGGTTCTTACACGAAAGTCGCACGTTTCTCACACGCTTCTCGCACGCTCGCTACACGGTTTGCACGAAACGCTTTGGAGCTTACACGAAATGCTGCACGGTTTACACGAAACGCTACACGGTTTGCACGAAACGCTGCACGGTTTACACGAAACGCTACACGGTTTGCACGAAACGAAAAGCGCACGAAAGTCACACGCTTTTTTGGGGTAGTAGCACGTTTCAGGGTCTGTACTTCTTAAAGTGTCTGATTACCTGTCTCCTATTTTAGTATGACCAAAACTCATTAACTTTTTTAGGCTGCTGAAAAGCATGATGTGTCCATCTTTGTCCACCCCTGGGATATGGACTTAAGTGGGAGAATGAAGAAGTATTGGTTACCTTGGTTGGTAGGTCAGTAATTAAAAATAAAAATATAGAAAAAAAAGATATTCTTTCTGCTATGATATTACATTTCAGGAATAGTTGTTTTAATTCTAAAATAAATATAATTTACACATGATGAGAGCAAGTCTTTGTGTTGTGTAATGAATACAGAATAGCACCATCCCACAGAAATGAATAATCATTCCCGACTAAAATACATTGTGAATGTCCCAGTCACTTATGTTTTGTTGTTATAGGAATGCCTTCTGAAACAGCCACTGCAATTTGTTGTATGTTGATGGGAGGAGTTTTGGAGGAGTTTCCTAAACTCAAAGTTTGTTTTGCACATGGAGGTAAAAATTACTGTGCATTTTGTGTATTACATTAATTGCAAATGTGTCTTGTGTACCTGATTGATAACCTGAGCCGAAGGCTCAAGTGAGCTTTTCTGATCAAAATTTGTCCGTTGTCTGTCGTTGTCATCACTGTTTTCGTCGTTGTCCTTGTTAACTTTTCACAATTTCATCTCCTCCAGAACCACTGGGCTAATTTCAACCAAACAGGGTATCCTTGGGTAAAAGAGATGTAAGTTTGTTCAAATGAAGGGCCATGCCTTCCTCCAAGGGGAGATAATTACAAATTAGTGAAAAAATTAAAGGCATCTTTTAAGAATATTCTTCTCAAGAACCACTGAGCCAGGAAAAATGAAAGATATGTGAAATCCTCCTCAGGTAGTGTAGAATCAAATTTATTCAAAACATGACCTCTTGGGGTAGGGTAGGGTCACAATGGACGATGAAAGTTTTACATACTAGAATATAGGAAAAATCTTCTTCTCAAGAACAGCAAAGCCATGATTGGTCATATTTAATGGAAACATCCTCAGGTGATTTAATTTCAAGTTATAACTCCTGGAGATAGGGTGGGGCCACAATGGACGATCAAAGTTTTACATAGGAATGTATAGGAAAAATCTTTAAAAATCTTTTAATCAAGAACAGCAAAGCCATGATTGGTCATATTTATATGGAAGCATCCTCAGATAGTGTAGATTCATGTTTGTTCAAACTATGACCCCTTGGGGGTAGGGTGAGACCACAATGAAAGTTTAAACTTGTAGGGAAAAAGCCACAGTTAGTCAAAAGAAATATGTAAGCATCGAACAGGGAATTATTTAATCTTAGACTAATTATAAATCCTGGATTTTCAGAAAATTCTGAAATCAGGTGTAGTGCCTGAAAACTAACTTAGTTTTGCTTGAAATTATCAGTTTTCACTGTAGTAGAAACTGTCTAAAGGAATAAGTGTGTATATAAGAAGCTACTATAATTGAATTATTGTTTATTTTTATTCATTCATGTTTTTATTGTGTTCCAATTTCATATTTTTATTGTTTATTTTCAATCATAATTATTATTTCTAGGGTAAATGTCTTTTATGCAGTGTATCTGGTGTTCTACTGTTGTAGCTGTAGAAAATAATGACGCATGCGCAGATGGGGGTTAGTCGATGCCTGGCATCAAAAAACGACTAACCCCCATCTGCGCATGCGTCATTTTCTCGCTTAATTCTGCAGTTTTCTGCAATCAAACGGCGATATTAAAATAATCCATCGAATGTCCGTCATTAAATTATGCTACGACTCCACTGTTATCGCAAAACGTTCCTTCCGAGTTGTAGATATCCTTTAAACATTGCCAACAACGCACGGCTTCATAGTCCCCATGAATGAAGACCCGACTGAAGAAATGACTCGCAGCAAACGAAAATACATACCGATGCGTATTCAGCACGACAACTGCAAACACTTACATATGTTTTCACAATCGTAACAACTTTTAAATCCAACGAAATGGTCAGAAAAACGCAGCGATGTAAACACTACCAAATTTACAGCAGCTTCCTTATGCAGACAACCACTCCTCGACGTCACAGTCGTAAAATACGACGTCACAGGTACACTGTTTTCCCGAACTTTTCTAATGCAAAATGGCGATTAAGCATTGTACGTAATATAAGGTATACTGTCTTTGTTGTTCAGCACACGTAATTTTAATTGTTTGTAAAAAGTTCTCCTTTAACCAGATAATTGAATATCACAAGAGGAAAGGAAACTGGAATGTCTTAAGTACAGAAATCGGTCTTTGAAATTTGAAGATCCATGATCCGCCCACTTGTTTCACCTCCAGCTAAGAGGTGCATATTTAGTGTGCAAATCGAGAGTTTTAAAGCCATTGTGACGTCACCCTCAATCAGTGAAATCTTACACATGAATCAATAAAAAATAATAATAATAATAGAGTTAAACTGTGGAAAACGTTAGTTTGAATTCTTGTGTACCATAAACAAATTCCCAAGCCTTTGTGACATTACTCTTAAACTTGCAATGACGGGGAACAGAGAAAAATACTGCGTCATAAATATTATAATAATTGTATTTGAATACACCAGTCAGATTAAACCACCCCGCGTCCTCTTTTCTTGTACTTTACAAACGTATATTTTTTTTTAGACAGAATACCCCCCCCCCCCCCCCCCTTGGCGAAAAACGGATCGAGTACTCAGTTCAAATATTTTAATTTTTATTATTTTCATCATCAAAATATATATATATTAGTATTGGCTAAAAAAAAATGAACAAGTTAAATTGATGCAAAGCATCAAATAGACCTCAAAAATATATAAAACAAAAATATGTAGAGCATTCTGAAGTATTTCCAAAAGAAAGAGCAACCCCCCCCCCCACCCCCCACCAAAAAAAAAAATGCATTTATGGCAGAATCTAGGAGAGGTGGATCTAAGAAAAAAAATCTTCAGTGGCATGTCTGATGCAACTTGGAATTTAGTGTTTTTTTTATATTTTATTATAGCCTTAAAATATTTCTGAATCTAGGGAGAATCCACAGTGTGCAAGTCTTTCTAAGACAATGTGAGTTACCCCAATACCCTGCATATTTCACTTACCCATTGAGAAGAAGGTAAACATGGCCTATTTACACCCTTCATACGTTCAAAGGCATCATTTCTCAATATTTGAAATTTTAATTCTTTTCCCCAGACACTCTCCTTCCTATCTATGCCCTAAAATCTGTCCATCCCACTCCGTACGAATCCTAAGACATATTTACGGGAAAAAACCCTGCGCTTTGCGTGGTCAATGAAATGGGGTAAATTAGTAACCTGTGGCATACTTATACTTTCTAAAATCAAATTAAGGGTTAAATACAAATTCCAACATTTATTTTAATTTCCTTTTTATTTAACTTTGTTTATTGTTTACTCTTTTATTTTCTATAATTATATGTTTCATTTTAAATGTATTATTATTATTATTGAGCACATAAAATATTAAATATATATTGTTTGTGGGTGAGTGAGATAATTCTGTGCGAAACGGAAGTGACGTAATTTGCATTGGAATCGATGTCGAATGCTGCCTTAGCTTATGGATAATAAATTGCGCAGCTCGATCACTATATAATAGTATGCTGCTAATCTATTATTATTATCATTTTGTTTAGCGTCATGTGGTTTTCTACCTTCTCAATATTTTTGTCCCAGTTTTAGACAATTGTGGATATGTTACAAATCTTGCATTTTCACGAGTATCTTATTTGTGGTATTGTAATCTTCCATTTATACCTACATGTTAAATATAACATGGTTAATATTCTACCATATTACGATATTTTAATATTATTTAATTAAATGTGATCTTATTGTAATAATTGTATTTGCCCTCTGAGGGTCCTTGATTGGTGAATAAACGTACTATTATATATCATATTTCAACAACATGGGAATGGACAGAGGCTGTAAGCCTTTGAATGAAATTGTCCATACAAGGACTCTTTTCGGACAAACTATTATTGCGCAGATTTAGAGGGATATCTGGAGTGTCCAACTCCACCCTCGGATATTTTCTGGGAAAATAAAATTTAAATAGCAAAGTAAACCAAAATGACCCCCCCCCCCCCCGTTTAAAAAAAAAACTCAGACACTTAGGACACTTGGTAAAATGTGATCGAATGAGTCATTTACATGTTTTAACACCCGCTCCCAAATAGATTGTTCGCTGATTCTTGGCTACTCCAAAAAATTGGAGATTTTTTTTTCTGTTGGAGTTGCCCCCTCATTCTCCTAACCTCAGAAAATAATCACACGTTTCAAAGCACACCATCATGTAAGAAATATTAATTTGTTTATATTTCACATAAATTAATCCTTCTAAATGTAAATCCTGTCTCTCCATATAGCGTCCCTGCATTGATGATGATTTTCCTGGTCGATGTTCACAGGCTCGACTTGTAGTACTAGTAATGCAGTGCTGGATTTTCAAACTCGCAATCGCGTGGCAATATTGTGTAGGAAACAGATCATGTCACATTTTAATAAAATATTTTGGATAAAATTAATTAAAAAATGAAAGTGAAGGTAACATTATGTAAGCAAAATCATATAATTGTTTTTTTTTTTGCTGGGAAAATTGTTAGACTGGAGTGATGCTTTTATAATATGCACAGTATTATTTCTTCGAACAACAGTTAACACTTTACATGGAGGTTTACAATTCCTTAATTTTGTTGATACTAATGTAGACTAAATATTGTCGATAATGTAAACCTTTTGTCTTTATATGCTATTTTTAAATGTCTCGTTTCAGCTGATGCATAAAAAGAGAGATTTCTTTTTATTGACAATACAACCCCGTAGAATACCTGGGGGGGGGGGGGGGAGTATAGTTTTTCACTGTTGTAAATCTTTATTTAAATGCTTCCTGTAGTCTCCCCCGTTTTGTTGCAGCATTAAGATCGAGCACTCGCAAACTCCTGCAGTTGAAAAAGAAATATACTAATGTACAACACCCCCCCCCCCCCTTCGAAATAGGTGTTTTGAGTTTGGAGACTTTAGCTTTTTTACTACATATACATGATAAATATTGCATCTCAAAGAATTGCCAAAAAAAATCTCAGTAAATGCTGATGATAGATTTATAATTAAGCTGTCAGTGCATAATATCAAATAAAGTAGTTCGTCGTATAATGTAAGCGTTATTGTTTATATTTGCCGTGACATAGAATCAGCTACAAGCAAATCCTTTAAAAAGAAAGTTGACCTAGCGCTGTGGCCATCATAAAACACACAAGTAGATATCTGAACCATTGGTTTAAGTTGCTGAATCCATGTAAATCAAAAAGGCATAGTGATGAACTGGGGGGAAGGGGGGTGGGTGTCAATTCAGAAAGGTGAATCACATCGGCAATAGCATTACTCATTAGTCATTTTATAAGCATTCTATAGTTTACTGTATTTTAAATTTTAAGGTGAAAAATAAGAGATCAGTAGAACCAAT